CAAGCCTCTCATTTGGAGATTGAGGAAGCAGAAGCCCAAGCAGTTAGGGATCCTTTTTTTTATGTTTAATTTGTTATTTTTAGACATACATGACAGTAGGGTATATTTTGACATATTATACATACATCGAGTACAACCATTCTTGTGGTTGTACACATCAGGGATCTTGACCCAAGTGACAGAGCTAGCCTAGTTAGTGACCTTCCTAGAATGTCCCCAGTTCCAGAAGGCATAGTGTAATGATTCTAGAAGCAAAATGATCATTTGTGTCCAAGTCACAACACAAAAACTTTCCAGGGGCTGGGGTTGTGGCTCAGTGGTACAGCACTTGCCTAGCATGTGTGACGCTTTGGATTCAATTCTCAGCACTGCATATAAATAAATAAAATAAAAGTCCCTTGACAACTAAAAAAAAAATTTTTTTTTAAAATTTTTGTACCAGAGATTGAACTCAGGGGTAGTGGACCACTGAGACACATCCTCAGCCCTATTTTATATTTTGTTTAGAGACAGGATCTCACTGAGTTGCTGAGCACCTCGCTGTTGCTGAGGCTGGCTTTGAACTCAGGATCCTCCTGCCTCAGCCTCCTGAGCTGAGCCACTGGGATTACAGGTATATGCCACTGTGACTGGCCATGAAAAAAACTTCTCAAAGGTTGAGTGTTGTTTAAAATAATAATAATAATAATAATAATAATGCAGCCTCCCAGGAAGGTTTTAGGCAAATGAGCCAAGGACTCTAGGGGGCTTCAAATCGGCAGCTCAGTGGGTGGGCAGGAATCCAGCAGGACTTCCAGAAGCCTGATAAGGCTGGTGCTGGAGCCACAGGGACTGGCCAGTGTATCTGGCTGTGTCACTTGTATCCTTTCTGTGCTTCAGATGTGTAAGTCATTAGGAAGGGACCAGGTGCCTGCCAGATGCTCTGTCTGGAGAGACACATTCAGTCCAGAATAATCCCTGAGTGCTCACAAGTGGCTTGGAGGGGACAAAGGCACCTAAGGTGAATGCCCTGTTTCTTTCTCTGAAGAGGTGACAAACCATCCTGGCTGGTTGGCATTGTCCTAATGTAAGTGCTAAAACTCCCCCACCCCAGGAAACCCCTCAGTTCTGTCACCTGTGTGGGTCTTGATGGGAGAGGAAAACATTTATGCAATAGTGACATGGTCCATAGGGTAGCTCGCCATTCTAGCTTGAACACAGAGAGCCCAGCGGACTCAGGACAAGGGTGTTGTGCCATCCATACCAGAGTTGATAGCAAAAAGAACCAGCACCAGCCCCGCTCCCGGGGCTGGTGGTGGAGCTCAGGGTAGAGCATTTGCCTAGCATGTGTGAAGCCCTGGATTCAATCCCGGCACCATGAAGAAAAGAAAAGAAAAATCAGAGCATGCCTGTCTTCCCAGTGGCTCAGGAGGCTGAGGCAGGAGGATTGTGAGTTCCAAGCCAGCCTCAGCAACTTAGTGAGGTACTAAGCAACTCAGTGAGACCCTGTCTCTAAATAAGTACAGAAAAAGGGCTGGGGATGTGGCTCAGTGGTTAAAAGCCCCTGAGTTCAATCCCTAGTACTGAAAAAGCAAACAAAGAAAAGAAAAACCAGGAATACTAATTCTTCCCTGCAGCCGCATTCTAGAGATTGAATCCAGGCCTTGTGCATGCTACCAATTACTTTACCCTTGAGCTACATCCCAGTCCTTTTCAGACTTGTTTTGAAACAGGCTTTCACTGTGCTGCCCAGGCTGACCTTGAAATTGAGATCCTCCTGCCTCAGCTTTCCCAGTTGCTGGGATTATAGGCATGTGGCACTATGCCCAGCTTAATGGTTCATGGTTTTTCTTTCTTTTTGACCAGTGTTGGGGATTGAGCCCAGGGCCTTGTTCACACTACTAAGCAGTCTACCACTGGGCTCCATCCCTAGTCCCTGCCTTCTTTATTTAAAATTTGGTTATTTTGTTCATCATGGATTTTTTTGCATTAATTTAAAAATACTGTATCAAGTATTATTTATCTTGATTACTAAATTTTCTGGTTTGCTCCTTAAATCCTGCACCTGTACATCTCACCTGCCTTACCCTCATCCCGGTCCTATAGGGCAGCCCTAAGTGCTGCCCATAAGTCTTTACGACCAGGAACAATTGCTTGGCATTTGTCTGAACACCCACTGACAGGACTCCACAGCCTTCAGCTTTCTTCCTGGTCTCATAACTTCCTGTACTTTCATAACTGGGTGTTGTAGAAATAGGACCAGGAGGGCTGGAGTGTGGCTCAGTGGTATGTGTGAGGCACTGGGTTCGATTCTCAGCATCACCACATATCAATAAATAAAATAAAGATCCTTTGACAACTAAAAAATATTTTTAAAAAAGAAAAGAAAGAAAGAAATAGGACCAGGAAGCTGGATGTGGTGGCGCACACCTGTCATCCCAGCAGCTTGGGAGGCTGAGGCAGGAGGATCGCGAGTTCCAAGCCAGCCTCAGCAAGAATGAGGTGCTAAGTAGCTCAGTGAGACCTGTCTCTAAATATAATATTAAAAGGGCTGGGGATGTGGCTCAGTGGTCAAGTGCCCCTGAATTCAATGCCCGGTACCCCACCCCCAAGGAAAAAAAAAAAAAGAAATAGGACCAGGAGGCAGATGAGGTCTGAGACAGTTGGCAGGGGAAGAGGAAGTATCAGAGACAGCAGGCAGTGGGAGACAGATGTAGATCTAGATGAAGTAAACTTCAAGGAATTGGCTTATGTGATTGTGGAAGCTGCAAGTCTGAAGCCTACAGGACAGACCAGCAGGCTAGGATCATCAGCAGAAGAGACAGAAATTCTTCTTTTGGGAGAATTCTCAGTTTTGCTCTGAATGAAGAAGGCCTTTTTGTTTGTTTGGTACCAAGGATTGAACTCAGGGGCACTCGACCACTGAGCCACATCCCCAGCCCTATTTTGTATTTTATTTAGAGACAGGGTTTCACTGAGTGGCTTAGGGCCTTGCTTTTGCTGAGGCTGGCTTTGAACTCGTGATCCTCCTGCCTCAGCCTCCCCAGCCACTGGGATGACAGGCATGTGCCACCGAGCCCGGCTGAAGAAGGCCGTTTCATGACTGGAAGAGGCCCATTCAGTTACCTCCTTGACTTAAAGTCGACTGATTGTAGGTATTAACCACATCTACAAATTACCTTCATGGCACACTTGAATTAGAATTTAATTGAATAACTGGGACTTATGCCTGGCCAGGTTGACACACAGAACCACCACAGGAAGGAAACTGGTCCGGGGAAGTTGTGTAGATTGCTCAAGATGATCCTGAAAATGTGCTACGGGCAATCACAAGGTCCACCTTCTCCCATGTGACTTGCAATGCTCAGGTCTCTGGAGAAATTCCTGGGGTCTCAGAAGAGCAGGATCCTAATCTCACGGGTGACTGTTCCTTTCATGCCATTGTCAATTTGTGTGCACCTCCTACTAGATTGTGAAACCTTCAAGACAAAGTCCATGTGAGTATCTTTTATTGTCTTTGGAGCTAACACAGAGCCCTCTATGTGGTGGGCATTCAGCGCATACTTGCAGAATTCGGGAATCATTAATAGTTGTTTTTTGTTTTTGCTATACTGGGGATTGAACATCGGGACACTTTACCACTGAGCTACCCCACAGCCCTTCTTTTTTTTATTTTTTATTTTTTTGTAGTTGTAGTTGGGCACAGTACCTTTATTTCATTTGTTTGTTTTTATGTGGTGCTGAGGATCGAACCCAGGGCCTCACACGTGCTAGGCGAGCTATCTACCACTGTGCCACCGCCCCCACCCTCTGTAAGTCCTTCTAACTCTAACTTCTTGATACCCCCAGGAGGTGGGTCCTACTATTAACCTTGGTTTCTGATAGGAAAAAAAGAGGCTCTGAAAAGTTAAAGATGAGTCTAGGATCACCGAGTTTGTAAGGGGTGAATCTCAAACTTGAACCTCGCAATGAACTCCACCGTCTGGTACCTAACCACCCACTGCACTGCCCAGGTGAACTGCCCCTGAAGCCTGGACCACAGACACAGTCGACTTGGTTTCCTCCACACTGGAGTCAGGAAGGGCGAGGTGCTCATGATGGCATCACTGGGACCAGAGCTCTGGGTCCCACACCCCCTGTCATGGCTACATTCTCCTGCTCCTCTCTCCTGGGAGCTGGCGAGCCCTGCCAGGGCCTCCCTGTGCTATTTACTCAGTGAGGTGTGGACTCGGCCTGGTTTCTGGGCTGTTGTTTGCAAAGTAAATGTCACCAAGGCCCCACCAATCTACACTCCCAACCAAGGAATGGGAACAAAGACCGAGAGGAACATATTTTTGCTGCTTTCAGATGCCCCGACTTGAGTTTTCAGTTTCTGTCTCTTAAAATGAAATCAGGGGCTGGGGGCGGAGCTCAGTGGTAGAGTGCTCCCTTAGCATGTGCAGGGCCCTGAGTTTGATTCCCAGCAGAGAAAGAAGCAGGAAAAAAAAAAAAAAAAAAAGGAATAAAGAGCAAATTGGAGGTGTACCTGAGAAGGGTCACATCTCAGGAACAGTGGAACTGGCTTCTTTTCATGCCTGTGTAAACTCCAGGGCACTGAGCAAGGTCTAACCAGGCATCTAGATTTGAACCTCCATTCTACCACTGACTAGTTGTGTGACCTTGACCTTGGCCTTAACCTCTCCAGGCCTCATCTCCCTTCTCTGGGAAACAGAGCCAGTTCCTAACTTACAGAAATAAAAGAGAGCCCGGATGGATGTGAGGGTGCAGACAGTACATGGCTCACATCAAGCTTCATTAGCCACTGTTCCTAATATTCAGGTCACGCATCCACGTGGGTGTCTCTTTACAAATAAGGATGCTTTAGAGTAAAGCAGACCGAAACAGGGCTTCGTGTTCTCTGCTACTCTGATTTCCTAGCTTCTTCCTGGAAAGGGACTCCAAGAACTTTTAGAAATAGTTCATAAACAAGGGAGATTTTAATCTGCAAAACCAGATGGACTTTCTCTCTTTCTGAAGCAGCTGGAAGCAAACCTGCTCCCTCGGTAGCTCTACCTTCCTGACCAATTTCCAACCGCAGTTCCTGTTCTGAACCCGGATCTGCAAATAAGAGCATTCATTGGAAGGGAGGTTCAGGGCCTCTGGGATTTCATCAGCTGCCAGCTCTCCCAGGAGACTCGGTGACACCCGTCAAGCCAGTGACCAAGGCCAGAAGGCAAGCGGTTCAAGGCCTACCGCCAGGCAACTTCCTTTTGAGTTTTGAAGCCAAGCAGTACACATCTAAAGAAATGCCAAGGAGGAAATATGGATTTATTGTTGCCAAGCCAATTGGGCTGCAGAGAGAAGAATAATACTGAAAGGTCCGCCTTCTGGTTGTGCAAAGCGAAGAGGAGGACAGGGGCAGGGAGCAAGCTTGGGTTCCATCTCAGTCTCCTACCCCAAGAGGTAACCTCCCCTGGGATTCCAGGGAGAGCAACAGTGCTGCCCAGGCCCAGAGACCCAGTGTTCCCTCCCACTGCTCTAGGGAGACCCTCAAAGCAGAGAAGTGGGGACAATGCAGAATTTAAAGCTAAAAGAAGGGGTGGGAGCCAGGTGTGGTGGCACACGCCTGTCATCCCAGCAGCTCAGGAGGCTGAGGCAGGAGGATCACAAGATCAAGGCCAGCCTCAGGAACAGCAAGACCCTAAGCAGCTCAGTGAGACCCTGTCTCTAAATAAAATGCAAAATAGGGCTGGGGATGGGGCTCCGTGGTCCAGTGCCCCTGAATTCAATCGCCAGTGTCCCCCCCAAAAAAAGAAGCAAGAAGGGTTAGGATAGACTCTCTTTCCCTGTCATACACCTGCCCCGTCCTCTCCTGTTATTATTCTGGGGCTTCATACTTCTCAAAAAATAAATATGAGGGTAGGAAAGGGAAAGAGACAGTTAAAATCAGAATGCAGAAATTCAGAAGGGTCTTACACTGTCTTGGGCACAGTAGCAGGTGTTAAAGGTTTTATATATAATATATGGTCAGTTTCAGGTCATTTTTGGCACCAGATAAACATTATTTCCTTATTGAGATTTTATCCCAGGTGCCAGGTGGCATCTAGCTTTTTTAGCAGGGAAAAGGGAGACAGGAGGGAAAACAGAGCTAAATCCTGTGTAAGCCCTTATCCATCCTTCAAAGTCCACGCAAACACGTCCTCTTTTATGAAGCCTTCCCCGATGGCCCTGTGATGGCTGGGTCTGGTTATTCTGCACCGGAACTGTCTACGGGACTTGTCTTCTAGCTACTCCTCCCGGAGAGCAGCATAAAGGCAGCACCGTGTGCAGGATGAATGCATGACCTCCAACCAAGGCCTGCTGGCTGGGACGCTGATCAGGATGCTGGAAATACCAGTTTATTTACCCTGAACACCAAGTCAGAAAGCACTGAATGTGCAGCCGTGAGCACAGGTGCAGGGGAGCATTCAGGAGAAACTCAGGTCAATACGTCATCTTCCCCCTCCCTTCAGCTCCTGGGGTGTGTGTGGAACACTGGATCAAAGGTAGGGGAGTGGGGCCAGATGCCCTATGAAAAAGAGAAAAAAGGGAGAGAGATTAGGGAAGAGGTCAATATTTAATTTTATTTATTTATTTATTTATTTATGAGTATGGGGGATTGAACCCAGAGGCTCTCAGCCACTGAGCCACAGCCATTATTTATATTTTATTTAGAGACAGGGTCTCCCTGAGTTGCTTAGGGCCTTGCTAAATTTCTGAGGCTGGCCTTGAACTCACGATCCTCCTACCTCAGCCTCCTGAGCCACTGACATCCAATATTTTTGAATTAAATTTAGATGAAGCACTTTCAGCAATCCTGAGCAAATCTGGGTTTTTTTTTTTTTTTTTCTTTCTTTTTGGTAGTACTGGGGATTGAACCCAGGTCTTCTGTTGAGCTACATCCCAGCTCTTTTTATTTATTTATTTATTTTAAAATTTTGAGACAGGGTCTGGTTAAGTTGCTGAGGCTGGCCTTCAACTTGGGATGTTCCTGCCTCAGCCTCCTGAGTGGCTGGGATCACAGGTGTGCGCCCCTGCACCTGGCCAAATCTGATTTTTCAGGGCCCTGCAGAAAATTTTTAATATGCAAAATGTTTATTCCCATCCAAAGCTGTGAACGGGCCAGCTACTTCTTTACCCCTTTATGTTCTAGAAGGTAAGAAAAAAATTATATTCATAGACCACTGGAGTTGCCAAGGAACGAGGTCACCTGGCGGGTGAATCTGAAGGACCCCGTCCTTCTTGCAGGTGTCTGTGGGTTATCAGAGAATCTTCGCCTGTTTCTTCTGCGCTTGCGCCCTCTGTACAGAGCCCCCAAGGAGCCCTTTCCGAGGTTCTGAGCCAGAGGTTCTGAGCCTGCGTGTGTTCCAGACACCGACTCGTGCGGTTCCTGTGAGCTGAGGGGCTGTTTCTGAGCAGGTGGATGTCTCAAACAGGGGTTCCTTCTAGTTTCTGTCACCTCCTCTCCATATCTCAGCATTATTTCCCAAAGTGAAGTCAGATGGGGACAGGCCACCTTTGTCCTGGAGCCCTGAATTATAAACATTAAACTCTTTCCTGTATTCCAGGCAGGCTCCTCGGCTGTTTTCACACACATTTCCACCTTTTCCCATAAAAACAAATAACAATGGGGGAAAAAAAGAGTTCTTGAGAAGGTTAATGCCTCACTAAGTTGCTGAGGCTGGCCTTCAACTTGCAATCCTCCTACCTCAGCCTCCAGAGTCACTGGGATTACAGATGTGTACCATGGCGCCTGGCTGAAAATGATCATTGTATAAAACAACAGTCTCATTTTAAAAGAAACTTTATTATTTGTCATGCAGGGGATGGAACCCAGGTTTTTGAGCATGCTAGGCACAGAATCGCATTTTAAAACTGCAGATCACAACCTCCTCCTCTTTCCCAGATGTGACAGCCGCCTGGAGCCACCGACCCACAGTGATGGTGCAATCCAAACCCCTCCCCTGGAATCCTGCAGTTGCAGCCACAGGTCACAGGTCTGTGTGTTCAGCAAATGTTTGTAGTCCTCTGCTGAGAATTTTATTTCAGGCCACAGTAACAGGGCAGCTAATTGGCAGCCTGTCTCAGGGTCTGGTCCACCCGGAGGCCAGGCAGGCATTCTGTTCTCAGGTGGGGGAGGGGGCAACTGGAGAAAACTCATCTGGTGTCCATCACTTTGACTTGTTTGCTGCTTCATGGACCTCACCCTTGCTTGGGACCAATGATCAAAATTCATATTTACTTAGACTTTATTTTATTTTATTTCATTTCATTTTATTTTTTTGGTGCCTGGGATTTAACCCAGGGGTGCTTAACCACTGAGTCATATCCCCAGTCCTTTTTATATTTTATTTTGAAACAGGGGGTTGCTGCTTTGCTTAGGGCCTTGCTAAATTGCTGAGGCTGGCTTTGAACCTGTGATCCTCCTTCCTCAGCCTCCCCAGCCCCTGGGATTACAGGCAGGCGCCACTGCTCCCAGTTTCATTTTATTTTTTAAAGAAATGACATCTCACTCTGTTGCCCAAGCTGGCCCCAAACTCCTGGGCTTACGAGATCCTTCTCCCTCAGCTTCTTGAGTAACTGGGACCACAGGGGCACACCACTGTGCACCACATCCCCAGCCCAACCTTTATTTTTATTTATCTTTTTTATGCAGTGCTGAGGATTGAACCCAGTGTCTCACGTGTGCTTGGCAAGTGCTCTACCACTGAGCCCCAGCCCCAGCCCTGTGCCCCACTTCTTAGACATACTTTAAGAACTCTGGGGCTGGGGATGTGGCTCAAGCGGTAGCGCGCTCGCCTGGCGTGCGTGCGGCCGGGGTTCGATCCTCAGCCCCACATACAAACAAAGATGTTGTGTCCGCCGAAAACTGAAAAATAAATATTGAAATTCTCTCTCTCTCTCTCTCTCTCTTAAAAAAAAAAAAAAAAGAACTTGGATACACCATTGTTCCACTTAGACTGAGAACCCTCAAAATTCTTGGCTCCTGAATATCTACATATGCAGATGAGACTAATGATAGTTTAAGAAGAGTTTGAAAAAGTTTGTTGGCATTAGGGTGGAATACCTTTGGCAATAAAGTAATAATAACAGTAACAATGATTATAACAGTTATATCATGTGCTTTCTCTATGTCATGCACTGTGCTAAATACATTATCTTATTAGATACTCAATTTTAGCCAGGTGTGGTGGGGCACACCTGTAATCCCAGCTACCTAGGAGCCTGAGGCAGGAGGATCAAAAGTTCAAACCAGCTTTCGAAACTTAGCAAGGCTCTAAACAACTTAGTAAGACCCTGTCAAAAAAAAAAGAAAAAGAAAAAATGCTGGGGATATTGCCCAGTGGTTATGCTCCCTGGCTTCAACCCTTGGTACCAAAACCAAACAAAAATCAAACCAACAACAACAAAAAAAAAAACCCTCAATCCTCATTTTACAGCCAAGGAAACAGTCTCAGGAAGATTGAGCAACTCATTCAAGGTTATCCAACTAGTGTGTTTTTAACTACAGCTGAAAACCTACCCGAATCCATCATTTCACATTCAAACATTCCCTGCCCCCATCTTGCAGTGACAGACATATGGTGTACGATTGGAAGATGAACAGACGGATGATGGAAGGTCTCTTCCAGGGTCCTCTGGGATTTAGATTCAATTCTACTTCCTCCTCCAACCCTGAAACTTTTCTCTTCTCATATCCCTTTTATTCACCAAACCAGAGTTTGGTCTATATTTACCCAGCTGACTCTTGAAACCACATAAATTCTGGGTGTTTTCTTAAAAAAAAAATATGAAAGAACTAAAAAAATATGGTTTGCAGTCTTTTTCCACATGAATATTAGATGTGCAAAGTCAGTTATAAATAAAGGGAAGAATTCTTCTCTTTTTCTCTTTTCCCTATGCTGAGAATCCCTAGGCCACTCTCAGGAAATCCAGTCTCCCTGAAGACAGGTTGTGCAAAACTCCCAGCATTACCTAAGGCAGTGTCTTTGTGGGCTGAGAAGGTAAATTTCAGTCCGTTTGGCTCTTCAGATAAATACTGTTTACTGAAATTAATCACAGAACATTTTTTCCAAAACAAATGCTCTACCCAGAACCTAAGCAATCAAAACCAGTGCCAGATCCTGGAATAGAAAAAAGATATTAAGCTGGGTACCATGGAGCACTCCCATAATCCCAGCAACTCAGGAGGCTAAGTCTGGAGGATTGAAAGTTGGAGGCCAGCTTCAGCAACTTAGTGAGACCCTAAGCAACTTAGTAAGACCCTGTCTGTAAATAAAATATAAAAAAGAGCTCTGGATGTGGCTCCATGGTTAAGTGCTCCTGGGTTTAATCCCCAGTACAAAAAAGGAAAAAAGACATTAGGGAAAACCTGGAGAAATCCACACAAAGGCTGGTTTAATTAATAGCAATGTGTCAGTGTTGATTTCTTGGTTTTTGACAAATGGACGACAATAATGTAAGCTGATAACATTAGGGGACCCTGGAGCTGAGTGAGGGGTATGTGGGAATTCTCTGTACTCACTTAGCAAACTTTTTTCCCCCACTGAGCCATATCCCCAGCCCTTTTAAAAAATTTTAATTTGGGGGCTGGGGTTGTGTGGCAGAGTACTCGCCTAGCATGTGCGGAGCACTGGGTTTGATCCTCAGCACCACATAAAAATAAATAAATAAAAATAAAGGCATTGTGTCCACCTACAACTAAAAAAAATTTTTTTTTAACTTTTAAATTTTGAGACAGGGTCTTGCTAAATTGCTGAGGCTGGCCTTGAACTTTTGATCCACCCACCTTAGTTACCTGAGTCACTAGGATTACGGGTGCGTGCCATCACGCCTGGCTCACTTGGCAACATTAGAAAATACTTTAAAAATATTTAATTTGGGGGCTGGAGTTGTGGCTCAGCGGTAGAGCGCTCGCCTAGCACAGGCGGGACTGGGGTTCGATCCTCAGCACCACATGAAAATAAAGGCATTTTTGTGTTGTGTCCATCTACACCTAAAATATATATATATATATATTAATATTTAATTTGACATATAACAATTATGAATTTATAGGGTACAGCATGACATTTCAATGCATGCATCTAGTGTGTAATTATCAGGTTGGGGTGATTAAAATACCTATCACCTCCAACATTTATCCTTTCTTTGTGTTGAGAACACTCAAAATCCTCTGTTGGACATTTTGAAATATTCAATTAGCTGTTGTCATCCACAGTTCTCCTTCTGTGCTACAGAACATTTCAAGTTATCCCTCTCATCCAACCGCACCCTACCCATTAACTGTCCTCTCTCCACCCTAGTTTTGCAACTTCTCTGTTTATTTATTTATTTATTTGAGAGCGAGAGAGAATTTTAATATTTATTTTTTAGTTTTCGGCAGACACAACATCTTTGTTTGTATGTGGTGCTGAGGATCGAACCCGGGCCGCACGCATGCCAGGTGAGCGCGCTACCGCTTGAGCCACATCTCCAGCCCCTTCTCTGTATATTTAAATGATGTCAAAATCAAAACTTTATTTGAAGTTGGGCACAGTGGCACACACCTGTCATCCCAGCGGCTCGGGAGGCTGAGGCAGGAGGATCCTGAGTTCAAAGCCAGCCTCAGCCACAGCGAGGCCCTAAGCAGCTCAGTGAGACCCTGTCTCTAAATAAAATACAGAATAGGGCTGGGGGTGGGGCTCAGGGGTCAAGGGCCCCTGAGTTCAATCCCTGGTGCCAAAAAAAAAAAAAAAAAAAAAAACCCAAAAACAAACACACACTTTTGTTTAAAAAATTTCAATACCAGTGAACTGATTTTTTTTCTCCTAGGAGGGAAGAGATGGGAGCCTGGAGCACTTAAACTTCTTTCAAACAAGATAAAACTTGTTTCCTTTGCTGCTTTTAAACTTGGAAATAAAGAATAGTTACCAGCAATAGAGTGTGTGCTTCTTAAAAAGACAAAACCCAGCACAGAGCCATTTGAAGCTCTGGTCCTTGCCAAGTGGAGGAGAGAGACAGAGTGACGTCTTCGCAGTTTTCAGGTGAAAGTTTTCTATTTGTCGTCGTGCCATTTAGTCCCTGTTTGATTGACTGTACAAGTGACCTGCTGCATTTTGCAGAAACCAGAGGTGGATTGAATTTCTTAGAACCCTAATATGCACAAGGGAACTGCAGGAAGTGTCGCAACATTTTCCAGAAAGGGGTTAGCAGCCACAAGACTGAGGAGAGTGTCTGTCCATATGAGCAGGAGGATTTCTTGCCCGTACACCAGCCATCTCAATGTTACTAAATGGTTCCTAAAGGTCCTTCTTTAAGAAATGCTAAGTCTGGAGATGTAGTTCAGGGGTAGAGAACTTGTCTAATAGGGATAAGGCCCTGGGTTGCATCCCCAGCACTTCAAAGAAAAATAAAATTAGATACTGCTGGGCATGGTGGCACGGGTCTGTAACTCCAATGACTCAGGAGAATTGCAAGTTTGAGACCAGCCTCAGCTACGTAGTGAAATCCTATCTCAATTAAAAAGTTAAAAGGACTGGAGATGTAGCTCAGCAGTAAAGTGCCCCTGGTTCGTCCCCAGTATCAATCAATCAATCAGTCAATAAAAACATACTAATAAAATTAAACACAGTAGCCCCAGCAGCTTGGGAGGCTGAGGCAGGAGGATCAAGAGTTCAAAGCCAGCCTCAGCAAAAGTGAGGTCCTAAGCAGCTCAGTGAGAGCCTGTCTCTAAATAATATGCAAAATAGAGCTGGGGATGTGCCTCAGTTGTTGAGGGCTCCTGAGTTCAATCCCCAATACCAAAATATAAAATAAAATAATTGGGGCTGGGGATACAGCTCTGTTGGTAGTGCTTGCCTTACATGCACAAGGCCCTGGGTTCAATCCTCAGCACCACAAATATTTAAATAAAATAATTAAACACAGTAGAATCACTAGTCCAAAATGACTTTGTCCATTTACAGAAGGTAATGAGGTCCTAGGCAGCTAATCGGTTTCTGCATTTGTGGTACTTGTACCCTGATCATTTAAACGATGATGACATCAAGGGAACGGGAAGTGAAAGGAGCATGTTCAGCACTTCCCGCAAGATCAAGACCCAACTTTCATTCCAGGAGGGAAACAAAAACACCCACCCAGAATTTGCCCTTCGCTCTCTTCTGGATCATTTAAGAGTTTTTTTTTTTTTTCTTTCTTTCTTTCTCTGTAAGATGTTGCTCTAAACGTTTTCCTCTCTTTTTCCATTTCAATGGGTACATTTAGATCCAGGAACAGTGTGACATGTCCCTACTAGAATCTGCCTCTTCACGAAAGCCTGGGAATGGATAAAACGCGACTCCAAGCAAAAGCGCGGGACACGTGAGCCTTTAACAGTGAATGTCAAAATCAGGGCCCTGGGCTGGGCACTGAGGCATACGCCTGTCCTCCCAGCTACTGAGAGGTTAAGGAGGAGCACTGCTCTAACCCAGGAGCCTGGGGAAAGTCTGGGCAATGCAGTGAGAGCTTGTCTCAAGACGACGCGGTGGCACACGCCTGTCATCCCCATTAGCTTGAGAGCATCGGCGCCCTTCACGTACACCACTGGTCTTTTGAGTGGGTCTTCTGAGCCCTGGTTTAGCTGGTCGATGGCTTCTGGGTTTTCAGACACATCAAAGATGACTGCAGTAGCTCCCCGCTGCACTGCTCGCTTGGCCTTGCCCAGGACAGTGAGGCATGGTTTGGGGTCCAATTCTGGCTGTTCCAGCTTCACCACTCCTACCCAGCCATACTCATACAAGTCCTCTTCATCATTGTTATTACACAGGCCCAGTGGGTGCATCTGCACCATCTCGCCCTCCGCGCTGAGCGTGGCCCCGGCAAGCGAGAAGCGGCCCGTGAGGCCGGTGGTGTAGGTGGTGTAGTCGCCGCTCGGCCTCCACTCGAACAGCACCGCCTCCACGAACGCCGTCTCCTTGGCCCGCGCCGCGCCGGGCCCCGTGGCCGCCAGCAGCAGCCCGAGCAGCAGCGGCAGTGGCGGCGGTGGCGGCAGGCGGTGGCCGCGGGGGCGGCGTCGGCCCGGGGCCCCTGGGCGCCCGCCTGAGCGCGGCCTCATGGTCCTGCGGCGGGAGGGCGCGGACGGCGGGCGCGGCCGGGCATAGTCGCGGGCCGGCGGAGGACCGAGCTAGGGCGGAGGCCTCACAGCCCCATCGCGGCGGCAGCGGCTTTGTGGGTCGCAGGCTCCACTCGGTTTCCCCGGCCGTCGCCCCGCGGCCCTTTCATCTGCTCCACGTGAGGGGTTATCCCCGCCCCGGCAGCGTCGTGACCCGCTCTCCCCTCCCTCCCCGCGCTCGGCCCTTGGCTTTGAATTATATATTTACACCTGACTTTAGATAAAAAGGAAAATTTAAAGGTTAAAAAAAAACCCCAAAATTCAAAGAAAGCAGCCCAAACATGGGATTTTCTGGCTTCCATAAGGAGAGAAAACACTGTGTACACAGGGTACTTGTCCCTCCCAGCCTGCCCTGTTGAAGCCAGGGAGACACTGGATTTTCAGTGACTGTCCCCTCCAGTGTTCCCATTGGAAGTGCAGGAAGACACACAGGCCTGAATCCCAAAGCTGCCACCGCCTGCAGAAGCCGCTCAGTGGGGAAACTTGCTCCCCAGTAGTTCCCCTTGTGTCTGGCCAGGCCCCTGAGGGACAGCAGACAGCCCTCAGACAGCTCTGGGAAGGGCACGGCAGGAGGGATTCCTGCCATTGCAGGAGCTCCCAGTGGTCAAACTCTCCACCGCCTGCCCCCACCTGAGCAAGACTAGACACAAATGCTAGCTCACACTCTCACTGCGACAGGGGAGGACAGAGTGTCTAGTGCCAGGCCCAGTGAGCGAGATCTTGGCAAGACTCACAGCTGCACACCTGCAGGACCAGTCCTGTGCTGGCCCACAGCCTATCACCTGTCATCGCTTCCCCCTTCAGAGGCCTGGGGGTGACTCCCCTCCGCCCCCAGCCCTGCCGTTCCGGCTCCGCCCTCTGCCCTTCTCCACCCTTGGTGGCACCTGGGGTGCTCTTATTGTGGCCCAAGCCACAGCCCACTTTGTCAGAGATTACCACACCCTCCCCCACCACCACCGCCAGGAGGCATGGGCAGCATGTCCCTGTACTGGAGGTGCAGGTACCCCCAGTTGAACACTGTATGTGTACCCTAGTCCCCAACTGCTCCGGGCCCCAAGACCAGCCCTCTACTTGCCAGCCAGAGGCTGCTCAGCCCTCCACTGTCCTCGCCCCCAACGTCCACTGGACTCCAGCCCACTTGTGCAGCTATTATGACGCCTCTGGAGAGGAGCGCAGCGGGGATGAGGGGGTGTTGCACCAGCTCGACAGGAGGGATCCCTGCCACTGCCATAGCTGCTGACCCTCAAACCCAATTTCTACAACCCTTCCCAGATGATTGGGCAACCTCACTGGGTCAGCTGGTGGACCAGCGGGATTTAGCTCTGCAGCCCCAGTGCCAGGGCTTCACAGTCACCCCAGGACCCAGGCACACACCAAGTTCACAGTTCAAGGGCCTATCCCGCCTGCATGGGGGGCGGGGTGCGCATACAGCCATTGCATGTGCGAGCATCCCTTTGTGATGCAACCCTTTGTTGCACGTGCCGCCTTATCTACTCAAACCTTTAAAAGCTGGGTCCTGGCCACGGGTCTGACATTGCCCTTTCGCCTCAAGCCGCGCTGGCAGCAGAAGAAGGACCCTTTGTGCTCAGCTCTGGAATCCCTGAATCCCGTCGTCTTCCCTAACCCTTACTGCTGCCATGGGTACTTCTCAGGGTAAGCTTTGTCCCTCAACCCTGCCCCGGCCCTGGCGGGCACGGACCTGCCAGAAGTGTCCCGAATGAAGTCCAGTCACAGAGTCCCCTGACCTTACCTACAGTGGTTGGCCACTCTGGCCAGCCCCGCGGCACAACTCCCAGGTTGTCCTGCTGCCATCCTGGAACTGCACATCAGCAGTTGAGCAAAGTGCCTCCTTGCTGCTGGTCCCAGGTCCTGGGAGACCTGGACATTACCTCCATCCTCCACATGCCTGGTCTCCTAAGAAGATGATGCTGTCAGCTGCACCTTTCACTAACTCCTGCAGCCTAGACCACCCACTCGGCAAACAGATGCCTTGTATGGCATAGGAGCAGAGAGCCACTGCTTGCCAGCTTGTAGCACCATGGTATACCCGAGAGCCCTGCCCAGGGAAGACTGTGCTCAGTGCCCTTGGAGACAGTGGCCAAGGGTGGATGAGCAAGTGGAAGGCCCTGCATATAGAGAACATCAGAGGGGGAGCCCATATCACTGGAGGAGCACAATATGACTTTAGGCTCCTGGTGGCCCATAGCCACCTGCCTTCCTTTGTGCCCAGGCAGGGAATCTTCCGCACCCAGAGTTCCCAAGTCAGAGCTGAGATATCCTGGGCCTTCTGTATGAGCTCCTGCTCCAAGAGAAAGGCCATCAGAGCTCCTATAGCTCCACTAGAGGTCTCCAAACCCTGGAGAGGAGGGCTCCAGGCCCACCCAACAGCAAGCTGCCCCAGGGTACTCTTCATCCCCAGGGATGGCAGCCATTATGAAGTCAAACAACAATGAGTGCTGGCGAGGATGCGGGGGAAAAAGGTACACTCAATGGAATATTACTCAGCACTAAAAAATAATAAAATCATGGCATTTGCAGGCAAATGGATGGCATTAGAGCAGATTATGCTAAGTGAAGTTAGCCAGTCCCTAAAAACAAATGCTGAATGTCTTCTCTGATATAAGGGGGGTGACTCAAAATGGGATAGGGAGGAAGAGCATGAGAAGAAGACTACCACTAAATAGGGAAGAGAGGTGGAGGGAAAAAGAGGGAGAAGGGGAGTTCCACGGAAGATGGAAGGAGAACCTCATTGTTATACAGAATACATATATGATGTTGTGATGAGAAAAAGAAAAAAAAAGTGTCACATTAGATTGGATAGAGAGAAAGGATGGGAGAGGAGGGGAGGAGTAGGGGGATAGGAAGGGCAGCAGAATAGAATAGACAATATGATTGATGTATGTGCATTCCATGTATGTATTATACATCAAATTGCATTCTACTGTCATGTATGACTAAAAAAAATAAGTAAAAATTTAAAAAAAGGTGGCAGACTGGGGCTGTCTACTGCTGAGGCCCTGTGAGTACTGTTGGGCTTTGGGCCCTGGTGAGAGAGTAGGAAGTTCCTACTGGAGTCAGATGGAGGCCCCAGATGTGGGGGAAAGGGGACTGTGAAGTCATAATGGTGTTCATGAGGGTGGCCCCCAAGGGAGCCCCTGGCTGCAGAGCCAAGCCTGCCAAGGTGCTGGGAGAAGGCCGGGGAGGAAGGGCCAAGCAACAGTTGGCAGGCTGTGGAAGAGGGGGACACAAAGTTTGGAGGTGGGAGGGTGTCTCTGGGAGGAGAGAGCAGCGCCCACCCACTTTGGGCGGGGAGGCAGTGCTGGGGTGGTAAGGCAAGGTCTGGCTGAGGCCCACTGATGCCAGAGGCTTGGCCCCTCCCCAGGTAGAGGGGGCCCACATATGGGCTGGGGTTGGGGGGCATGGTATAGCTGTCCCAGATGGCCTGGGACTCACCCATCAGAAGGCAGTGGATGTGCTGCGGAGCTTTCTGTTTCTCCCAGTTGAGGTCCTCAGTGGTGACTGGACAGGCCAGTTCCAGAAGTGGTGGCAGCCTCAGAGGTCCCCCTATTGATGTGACGGCAAAGGAAACTTTCATTTCTGTGGCCTACCTGTATTCCCCATGGATGAGCATTTCTTCCTTGGCAATGGCTGTCCCGCTCTGCCTACAGCCACCTTCTCACACTGGGCCTTCTTTGCCATCCATTTCCCTGCAAATGCCATGATCTTGTTATTTTTTAGTGCTGAGTAATATTTCATTGTGTATAAATGCCACATTTTTTTAAATCCATTCATCTATTGAAGGGCATCTAGGTTGGTTCCCCATTCTAGCTATTGTGAATTGTGCTGCTATAAACATTGATGTGGCTGTGTCCCTGTAGTATGCTCTTCTTAGGTCTTTTGGGTATAGTCCGAGAAGGGGAATAGCTGGGTCAAATGGTGGTTCCATTCCCAGCTTTCCAAGGAATCTCCATACTGCTTTCCAAATTGGCTGCACCAATTTGCAGTCCCACCAGCAATGTATGAGTGTACCTTCCCCCCCCCCCCGCCCCCGCATCCTCGCCAGCACTTATTGTTGTTTGACTTCATCATGGCTGCCTTTCTGACTGGAGTGAGATGGTATCTTAGGGTGGTTTTGATTTGCATTTCTCTGATTGCTAGAGATGGTGAGCATTTTTTCATGTATTTGTTAATTGATTGTATGTCCTCTTCTGAGAAGTTTCTGTCCAAGTCCTTGGCCCATTTGTTGATTGGGTTATCTGTTTTTTTGTTGTTTAACTTTTTGAGTTCTTTGTATACTCTAGAGATTAGAGCTCTATCTGATGTTTGAGGGGTAAAAATTGGTTCCCAGGATGTAGGCTCCCTATTCACCTCGCATATTATTTCTCTTGCTGAGAAAAAACTTTTTCAGTTTGAATTCGTCCCATTTGTTGATTCTTGGTTTTAACTCTTGTGCTATAGGAGTCTTATTAAGGAATTTGGGGCCTGCCTCCACGAGATGAAGATGAGGACCACCTTTATCTTCTATTAGACGCAGCGTCTCTGGTCTGATTCCTCAGTCTGCCATCTTGAAAGGTACCTAAACACGCTCCCTGAGGGAAGCAGCCCCTCATCCCTGGAGCCACCATCCCACCTGGGGTTTCTGACAGGAAGAAGCCCAGAGCCCCCACCTCTGCCAGCTGTCAGTAGTTTGGACACCTGGGATCTCCAGGTCCAGGGGTAGCTCCATTCCCACCATTGATAGCAGGCCCCCCAGCCTGGGCAGCCCAACCCACTCAGCCCTTGGTGCTGACAGACGTAGAAATCCCACCGTGGGGGCCCGTGCCAGCACCCACACACATTTTGCTGGCAGCCAGGCTGCAAGTCCACTGGAGCAACTAGTCCATCAGCCTCTGCAGCTGCTACTCAGAGGCCAGGGACTGTGAACAGTGTTTGTCCCAAGAACAGGCAGCCCCAGTCAGCATGGGACAACCAAGCTTCATCCCCCTTAATGCTGCCAGTGTCAGTTGCCTCAATTGCAACTTGGAGGACAGATTTGTCCCCAGTTCTTCCGTCTCCCATGGCAGAAATGGGCATCTGCTAAAAAAGTAGAGGGACCCCCAAAACCAGAGAACACCATGGGGCAAGTTTGGGATAGAACAGCTCCAGGGCCTTCCCCTAGGCAGAGCACCACCATGAGGACCAAGGGAGAGAAGGCAAAATACAAACCAGGGTAAGCAACCACTGATGTTTGTGCAATTAATGCTGTCCCCCAAAGCCTGACCGTGCAGAACCCCTGAAGCTTTCCTGGGAGGAACCATCACCACCTTCAGAAAGGCCACCTTGACTTGTAAGTTTGTCCCCATGCAATCCAGGAACCTGGGAGCCCAAACTAGCTCCCGGATCTCATATCTGTCTTTGGGGTTCTGTTCATCTCCTCCCCAAGTGAAGGAAAGAGAAGCATGAGACAGCATTTACAGGGTAAATGGGGCTTCGACATATTCAGCGCCACTAACTAGACCATCCCTATAGTGGTCACTTTACAGGGGACAAAAACCAACTCTGTTCTTGGAGCCACGAGGGCCACTCCTTTAAGTGCCAAAAGGCGCCCCCTTACAGGAACCTTGAATTCCACCTCGGAGCATCAATACCTCCATGAACCAGGTTGCATATATTTACAGAGGGAATCATATCACCCATTTCCCTGGTGGTAAAGGTGAGGCTCTGGGAAAGGACATGAATTATGAGTTAGCCAAGGTCCTGCCTGGAAGAGCTGGGACTGGAATTCTGGAAATCTGGCTCCAGAGCCTCATGTGCAGAACCCTGCAGGGGAGGCCTGATGCCGGGAGCTTGGAAGGGGGGGACCCATCAAGTTGGGGTGGGGGGCTCAGAGAAGAATGAAGAGATGGGTGTGGCTGGGGAATTCGTCCAGAGGGGGAGACCAATAGGAGAGGGAGGGGATCGAGTGAGGGGACTGCATGAGCAAGGCCAGGCAGCGGGAGTGTGTGGGTCAGGCAGAGGAATGACCTGTGAGCAGCTGGGGGTGCAGGGATGGAGGGGGACAGGATTCAGAAGGAAAAGAAGGTTGGGCCACACCATGGAAAGAGCCAGGTCTGGCAGGGAGACACCACCCCTCCCTGCTCCATCCTCCAACTGTCTTTGAGTCTGTGCCTTGAACTTCCCCAAACCCTCCCTTCTCACCACCTCCACTGGCCCTATTCCACCCCTCCCAGCTCTCCCCTCCTCCCTGCCTCGCCCAGAACAAGACAAAAAGCTCAAAGCTGCTGGCCATTTCCATGTAGTCCTTCTCCCTGCACCTTGTCCCCACATCTGTCTTCACTTGAACTCCAGGTCGGCTCTGTAGGGGCAGTGGTGGGTGACACACAGGGTCTCCCTGCTTTAGAGCTGGAGAAACTGAGGCCCAGAGAAGTAATTTCTACTTCGGTTTCAGATCTTGGGCCATCACCCCCTTGAGGAAGCCCTCCCTGCACTCTCTACTACCCTGTCAGGCCTGGTTTTTGGTTATTTGTTCTCAGAGGACCAAGGATTTTTGCTGTAGAGAACTGGCCTCAGGTTGTCACTGTCTGTTCATTCACATGGATTAGTTTATGTCTTTCTATGTCACTTGGCATGCAGGGGACACTGGAGAAACACTGAGCGACTGAATGACAGTTTGGGTTCTTGTGACAAGTAACAAGAAGAGGTGTTAGTAGAACGTGGATGGGGCACCACATGGTCCCCACTTGGGGTATAAAAAGTCTAGGAAGCTTCTATAAGGGGGTGATGACCTGGTTGGAGCTTGAAACCTGAGTTGCTGGTAGCAGCTGGAACATGCAGGATGGTACCTGGCAGGAGGTGAGCCCCTGGCTCCTGTCACCTTCAGGAATCTGGGTTCAAGGTCCAGTGGTCTAGGTAGCTGGGAATGTGGGCCTGTGAAGGCCTCTGCCCCAAGCTCCATAACCCCAGGTGACCTTGAGGCAGGCAGGGTGGCACACCCTTCCTCTGCTCACTCCCCTTTGTCCAGTGGTAGCCAAGGGGCATCTGACTCACCTCCTCTTTGCCCCACTTCCCCACAGTGAGATTTATTTTAAAGTTACCTGAAAATCCCTCCAGCCTTCCTGATTCAGCCACCCTGTCCTCTGTGATTCTCTTGTGAAGGTCAACTGAGGGTCCCTGAAGGACTGCAGCCCATGCACCTCACTGGCTCAGCTCACCCACCCCACCCTGTGGCTCTCCACTCTCCCCCACCAGGTGGCAGAGGCTTCTGGAGGTCTTCCCACCAGGAGTCTAGAACAGGCTTATTTATGTAGAATAAAAAAAATTACGTATTTCATCCCATTTTCCTGGTCTTTGACAAAACAATTCTATTTGCATAAGACTAATAATTCAGTGACCTCCTTAAAGGCCATTTTTCTCTTGATTCTGGCCCATACAGAGGCCATGCTCTGTTAGAGTGGGAAAATAATTTTTTCTTGGTCACAGATTTATAGCTATAAGCAGAGCACTTTGTGAAAATTCTTTCTAGTGAGTAGTCTGGGCTTAATATTTCCTATACTTACATATTATGAAGGAGACCTTCCAAACATTGTGGTTCCTCTGTGCACCTCATATCCCTTCTCATTATCTGGACCACAAGCCAATTTCAAATTTCCCCATCCAAGCAAATGGCCTAAGGACAGAGAACTCCCAGATGCTCAAACAACAAGGAAACCAGAGAGCCAGGACAGGGCCTCTGTAGTAGTGAGGAGCCTGACCAGTGAGCCAAGTAAAATGAAAGCCTCCTGCTACCCAACTCTGAGGGCAAAGCTGCCAGGAAGTGAGAGGGAAGGGGACATCATGTCTCTGAGCCTCCACTTTGCCCCAGGATCACAGAGGTCAGGGTGAGACCTGTGCTATGCATCTAAGCAGTCTGCCACCAGGTCCCATGTGGGAGAAGGTGGATGTCATCTTAGCAAAAGAGTTTTCTCTTGGACCCCACAGGAGTGGGTCCTGACCTGGAAGAGGATGGTCTGGTGGCTGGTCCAGCTGAGCTGCCAGGTTGAGAGGCCAGCACAGATGTGCACCTAGATGCAGCCTTGCTCATGATGGTGCTGGTGCCCCGAGGCAAACTTGGGCATTTCTGCTTGGGTGGGCCCTTTGGGGATGGCACTGAAAGGAGGGGCCTAGGTGGCTCCAAGATCACGGTTGCTGTTTGTCCTGTGTAACTTGGTCACCATGGAAATACTCTGGTGGTGGGGGCCACAGAGAGTCAGGCCCAAGCTTGCCTCATAGGTCTGTCTGGTGCTCGAGGGTCCCTCCTCTTAGAAAGGAGATGCTCATTACCCACAGGCTGCTCCCAGGTTCTCTGCTCTCAGGTTCCACTGAGGACACTGCCAAGGGCATAGTCATGCAAGTTGGTCTTTCTGGGGTGGTGCTGGCCCCTCGATTTCTGCTTGGGTGGCCTTTGTGTCAAGCATTAAATGGAGGGGCATTGGTGACTCCCTGCTCATGTTTGCTGCTTGTCTTTTGTCCCTTGGTCACTGGAGGTATTCTGGTTAGAGGTGCTGCAGGTTTTCATGCTCCAGGCTTGCTGTCTGGGCTTGGAGTTTCTCTTCTTTTGGAGCAGATGCTCAGTGCTCCAAAGGCCAGTATCACATCTGGAGGGAGGTCTGTAGTCGTAGAAGCCAGTGATTCCACAGCGTGGACTTTCAAGTGTAGGTGGCCTTTCTGGAAATGGTGTTGGTCCCCTGCATTGATCGTAGGGGTTTCTGCTTCGGATGACTTTGGAGATGGCAGTAAAATTAGAAGCACCCATAGCTAGGGTGTCTTAGCAGGTCCTAAGCTGGACCCATGGTGCCCAAGTCCTGGAAAGTCCCACAAAGGAGAATAAGCCAGGGCAGTCCCTGCCAGAACCTGGACTCTCCAGCCTTTGAACCCAAAGGTGCAGGATGCCAGCCTTGCCTGCCTTGAGTGTAGTAGTTGTCAAGTGCTTCACAGTCGTTGCACAGGAGCATTGCTGGCACAGTCAGGCATTTCATTGAGATGAATCCAAACCAGGGGAACAGGTTTTTGAGCAGTATTGGATGTGGGAATATATAATGTGATTGGCTTTCTAGAAGGTAACCTCATCGCCATGGTTCCTGATGGGCACTGCTGAAAATACAGAACCATCCGGAGGACTGAAAATTTGATGAGTCATTCATTTATTTATTTTTATACCAGATATTGAACCTGGGGTTCTTAACCACTAAGACACATCCTCAGACTTTTTTAAAAAAATATGTTTATTTAGAGACAGAGTCTAGCTAAGTTGCTTCAGACCTCTCTAGTTTGCTGAGGCTAGTTTTGAACTCCATATTTTCCTGTCCCATCTTCCCCAATGCTTGGACTATGGGTGTGTGCCTCCAAGCCCTGCTGGGCCTTTCATTTTGGCCAGATCTGAGCCTCTTAGTACTTTTGTTAGGAAATGGCCAGGAGGAGGGAGAGTGGATCTTAAATGGATGGTTTGTTATTGTAAAGGGCTGGGGATTATAGTTTGAATTAATCTAACAGTCTTCTTAATATTGTCCTGAGCATTGAATTTATCCATATTGACCCTACCTCTCCCCCTGCCCATTGCCACTGTGGATCACTGAGGGTTCTCTATGGTCCGAGTTCAGCCACAACCCTTTTCTTGGTTACTTCTCATAATGACACACCCATGAACTGCATATCTTGACTGGTAACTAAAGCTTTCGTTGGTGCTTTCAAATATGAAACTATAAATTTGTTATCAAGTGACTTGTCTAGAAATCATTTTCTTCCAAATTGTTCCAAAGAGGTCAGACTGGAAGAGGACCTAGTCACTTGCCAGGCTGACCTTCTTCAGGTGTTCCAGCCCCTCAGTGATTTCCATCAGTTCCCCCTCTTTGTAAAATCATGCAATAGACTTGTGTTTGGGGAAGCAGCAGGCTTAGGATTGAAGCAGGAGTTCAATAGAGGTTTTCAGCAGGAGGCTATGATAGGAGTCCTCAGTGCTTCCCCAGTGAGCTTGCCTTTTAATAGCAGGTAACCCTGGGAATGGGACAGCTATCAACAACTAATAGATATCAGTACTCACATGAAACAGCTGATGTGCTGTGTTCACCAGCCTATTCTTTTTTTTTTTGATATTGTTTTTTAGTTGTCAATGGACCTTTATTTTATTTATTTATATGTGGTGCTGAAAATTGAGCCCAGTGCCTCACACATGCTAGGCAAGCACTCTACCACTGACCCAAACCCCAGCCCCATCAGCCTATTCTTTAAGAAGAAAGGATGTTCATAACCTGTTAGTGTCAGGAAAGCCAAAGGATCACATGTACTAGTCTCTGGGGAGTAGTAGCCTTCTAGGGCAGGCTCCCTGACTGTGTGTTAATTAAGTGTCCTGGTCCATGTGGGCAGGATGAAAGTCAACCTCAGTGTGAACTGGGAAGCGCAGAGCTGATGACCAAAGAGAGCTGTTCTTTGATACTGCATTTCCTTCATCTATCGTGTTTAGCATGAGGAAGATTTTTTTTTTCCTTGTGGAAATTGAGTTAATAGGTGTTAAATAAATATCTTAGTTGCTTCTGATGTGGCTGAGGAGCACTTTCAAGTGTTTAAAAAACTGGTTTCTGTATATCATTGTATAGCTAATTGCAATTCTTATGAAACCTTCTCATAGGCTGTTTCTGGTTTTATTGGGATTTTTTTCAGCTGCATTGTGAATTGGATGAAGGACATTTTCCCTTCTTATAAATGGTTTTGTGGAATTTTGAGATTTGGGTTTTTATTCACATTTGAAGTGAATAAATCAACCAGCCTTAAGAACATGACATCTTTCTGATGGATAGAAGCAATTCAAGGAAGAATAAGGATGATGTCTTTTAGAAATGCTATAGGAATATTTGTTTGGGGGTCAATAAATAACATGCTTAGAGTTTAATAAATATTTTGTTATGTCATCGTAGTTTCTACATTTTTGTATTCTAGTAGAATTTTATCTAGTTTTAATATTTGTTTTTGAGCAGACATCTTTATCTTGAGAGATATCATTTAGTGTTACTTTTCAAAATTTGCAGCTGTGTAAATCCAGATGCTTGGTGAAGCTGCTCTAGTGTGAGGAAAGCCTCTCCTGTTAGGCCAGGAACCTGTAAGGCACCATCAGCACATATGAAACCTGCTATGTATTATAAGCAACAGGAAATAGCACAGAAGCTGCAAGTGCATTTAGGTCATTTGGAAGTTGAATTCCTGTCATATCTTTACTTTGCTTAACATATCTTCTCCCCTTTAGTTCTTTCTTATAGTAATTTGAAGCTGATGAATTTACTGGTATTTTCAGGAGAGCATATACAATTAAAATATTTTTCAATTCAGTATCAGTTCAAAGAACTTAGCATCACCTGCCACTCACCTTTGGTGGGAAGGTAATGAGCAGCCACTTAGCTCTGTGTGCACAAGGATGATGGTCCTGAGTCTCCTGGGATGGCTAGCTAAATCTGGAAGTTCCTTAGGAGATGGAAAGACATCAGCTCCTCATGTTCCATTCAACAGTGAGCACAGGGCGCTCAGTGAACATGCATTAGGTTTGTGAGTATCCCCTGCAGGGACTGGTCTCCTATTCCCTTTCCAGACCTCAAAGCTGAATTGTCTGTCCTTCTCTCTGCTCCAGTAGCCTCAGCTATTGAGTACTATTGCCTCTGAGATGCTTCTTTGTTCATACTACTGGGATCTTGCCTCCAAAGTTTAGTTGGAAGAATAGGAGGAAACTGTTGCTTTAAACTGCACACAAAACAAAAGGAAGTGGCTTTCCCTTTCCCTAAAGACATGGAGATAGAGAAGTCCGTTTCCGTGGTCGTGGCCATGCTATGGAACAAATTCTTGGCCATTCCACACCATCCTTGCTTCTTATATGTTTTGTGCATCAGTGAATTTTTTAGCCCTAGCATTTTCACCTATGGGAGGTGTGTAGAAACGGAGGCACAGAAATGCCACCTCCTTGCCATTTCATGGGGTCCTCAGGTCTCTGCCGGCTGCCCCACAAACTTTCCCCACAAACCTCTGGAATTTCAGCAGTGCCCTCTGCTGTGGGCCTGTGGAGCCAGACTAAGTTAGACTTCCCGTGACTCAAACTTGGAAGTGATACCCCATGAGGCTTGTTGATTTCTGTTTCTTAGAAACCAGATGCTGATGTGGATCCACTGAGAGAGGAGGGAGCTACAGGCTTTGGGCACAGGATGCTGTGGTGTTTGAAATCCCCTGTAGTGTACCCCATCATACGATCGGAAGAGACATTGGGGCAATTTGATTTCGCACAGGAATTAGAATTCTATGGCAAAGGGGAGGCTATCTCTGAAAATAACCCTCCAGTGGTGCAGAGTGGGGACCATGGCCAAGAGAGGAGCTGACTTTCCCTCTGTCACTGTGGGACTCAGGTCATGGTAAAGTTGGATGTCATCCTTTGTCCCTTAACTTCCTATGTCATGTTATCTGTATATTTGTGCATTAGAGACGCATGACTCCTGGATAAGGGTTCCTCAGGGAGTCCATGTATGTGTGGGCACATGTCCCTGATGACAACCTCTAAAGCAGATGCTAGAATGACCCCTGGGAACATGTTGAGAAGCTATGGAGGCCCTGCAAGGCACAATGACTTCCTCAGGGCCACACACATACCCACAAGAAGGGGAAGGGTCTCAACCAAGCTCTGTCTCCCCAAACCAAGGGAGCTGGCTACACCCGGGCCTGTCTGAGGGCCTGATCCAGGGTGTGTTGGTGTAACTGGGTCCACCTGTGCCTATGTCATGGGAAGACTGCAGCCCAGTGGGCCATTGGAACCATCTTGTGTAAGAAAGGGACTCAGCAAAGGACTTCCTGAGATAGTGACCTCACTTCCTTGGCCATGGAACTCACAGAACTTGGAACCCTGGTAGCTAGGCACTCACAGTCCACAAACAGTCCCAGTCTGCTCACTGGTGTTGAGACAGCAAGCCCAGAGCCATGAGTTCTTGTTGTCTACAGATCTGTGGGTGCTTAAGCCTCAGGGCTTTTCCTGAGTGTGGAGGTGCTGGGTCAGCGCTGTGTCCCAACGACTCTGGCAATTTTTCCCAAGGAGACCAGAAGTGAGACAGGACAGGGCACCACAGGTGTCCATAGTTTAACCCACATTCAGATTCCCCTTTCAAAAGTGCCAGATCTCACCAGGTTAGTGTGTGTGTGTGTGTGTGTGTGTGTGTGTGTGTGATGTCTCCTGAGAATATGGAGGGAAAATATTTTGATTTCCCCTGACGTATGGCCGTGATTCCTTTTGCAAATGGCTACCGTTTTCCTGTTGAAATGTCCCTCTTTGATTGCCCATCCTAGGGAGAAGATGACCAAGGCTCATCAGTGGATGTGTCCTGTCTTGTGGAAACCCTCACAGTACTTCTCTGGGAGCTCGAGGATGGCCTGGTGCCTGCCCTGCAGCAGGGTAACACCCCCTATGTCCATGGGGTTTTGTATTTGTACCAAGATTTGGCCAGTACCCAGAAGGCTCTGGAGCTGCTGGGTAAAAGGTGTGTATGACCTCCAAGCCCTGGCCCATGGCCATCTCCTGGCCTGGTGTTGGGAATGCCGGGCATCACTCTGAAACTCCGTCAGCTCTGAGGAAAGTAGGGTTTTTCAGAGGAGAACTCTGCCTGGGTGTTTAGAAATCCAAGTAGGATGAGCCCTAGGAGTGTTTGCCTCAGAGTGGTCCTGGGACACAGGCTGGCGATGGCTCTGGCCTTTCCCTGGGGGCCTGTCCCCTCCCTGAGAGGAAGTTCTCTGCCTCAGACCTCACTCTTCTGAGGCCTCAGGAAAAGCAGTTTCCACATTTGGGAAGGAGTCTGTGGGTTGCATCTGGGAGGGTTCCAACCTGCCTGTCGACAGAACAGGGACCCCTGGGGTCAACTGAGAGGGTCCTGGCCCTGAGGTAGCCAGGCAGCAGGTGGTTGGGTTCATTCATGGCTCAAATATATATGAAGCACCTACCTTTGGCAGGTACTTGGCCTATCATTTAGGAATCAGTGCAGACAAACTCTCCCAGCCCTCCTGAGCTCCCGTTATTGTCAGTAAGTTAGTCAAGTCCACCAGGCATCTCAACAGATGAGGGACACAGGATATTAGAGGTCACAGCCTCCTGGTATTCTCTAGGTATGGACGCCTCCAGCCATATGTTGAGGAGGAGTACCTTCAAGACAAGAAGTGAGTGGTCTTTGGGCCAAGAGGGAGGGCTGCTGTCTCGAGAGTGGTCACTTGGGGGGCTGTTGTAGAGGATGGCTGGGCAGACCTCAGGGTCTACCCTGTTGTTTCCCAGCAGAGGACAGAGGTCTGGGGCTTACTCTGTAGAAGGAACAAAGCAAGCTGTGGTGGGATTCTGGGTACCCAAGGAAGAGAAGCGTGGCTGGAGCCTCAGAGCCAGGCCCTGTGAGGATCCCTCTCCAGCACAGCCAATCCCAGCCTGGATTGCCCGTGCTTTTTTGTATAGAGACTGGAGAGAAAGTGAGGGGAGAATCCTACCCACACATGTGCCTCACAGTTTTGCCCCCTTTGCTCTGCTGCATGTGACCTGCTTGGACACTCTCTGGGAAGCTCCCCATGCAGGGGGCCT